GTAGGGGTGTTTGGGTTGTTTGAATGGTGAGAGCAGAGGCATGCAGGGATCTGGGGTTGAAGGAAGTTTGAGGATCTTGGGAAATGTGGCAGAGCTGTGCCAAAGCTCCCTGGATAACAGGAATGGACTCCACGGGGAGCAGAGAGGTTGGAGTGGATTTTGAGGAGCAAAGTGGGTGGACCAGAACTGGCAATTTAGAGGATACTTATGTTTGATTCATTAGTAGCTCCAGGCCCTATAAACATTAAAAAAAACCATTAAAGTTGCAGTTAATTTTTTTTTTCTCTCAATAAAATTGCCTGAACTTGACAACCATGACCGATTCCCTCTGTTGCCACTGTCACGCTGCCAGTCTGCATGGGGACGAAAATTAAAACTGAAGTGGCTGTGTGCTAATCTCAGATTTATTGTAGGGTTTGGTGTATGAGCCCCTTTCCCCATCCATGCTCTGTGAAGAGCTGGGGCTTCCTCATCGTGCCCGTGGCCAAACAGATCCTTTCCCCTGCTCTCCACTCATGTACCCCAGATGCCACAGATCACAAACACAGAGTTGTGTGACCAAATGGAGTCCCCCTGCTCTGAGATCTGGGTGTGCCCAGCTGTGAGCTGGACATGTCTCCATCTCTGCCAAAAGCAGAGCAAAGCAGTGACAGCAGAATCTTCAACAAGATGCAAATTGTCTCGAATGCACTGAGGGGAAAAAGAAAGAGCATTGTATGCACAGAGAGCCTTCATCTGTCTCTCTGCTTGGGATGTCTGCAGGAGCCTCTGGAGTCTGGGAATGCTGTGTTTGGGGTTTGCATCTGTTGCTTTCTGCAGCAGACCCATCCTGGTCCTGTCCTGGTCCTGTCCTGCCCGTGCAGGGTGTGCTCACACCAGTGCTGGCATCAGCCACACGTCCTGCACAGAACACTCGCTGCCCCAGGCCCTTCCTGAGCTGGAACAGGAGCATGGACACACGCCAGGCTCTGGGGAAGAAGCAGCATCTGAAAATTGGGTAGTTAAGTGCCTGCAGAGTGTCCTGCTGGAGGAAGAATCTGGCAGATCTCAGTCACTTTGGGGTCACCTCGGTAGCAGGAGGGGACTCTGCCTTCTGCCAAGTAACCTCTGACTGGTTTTTCTTCCTTTAATGAGAAACCTGGAGCCTCACAGGCTGTTTAACTACAGTGCAGGCAGTGAGGCATGACAGAGCCCAGCCTTTTTCCAAGAGCTCGTGTCTCTGCAGGCTGCACCAGCATCGCCCAGGGCTCCCAGTGGGGACAGGGATCAGTGGCAGATCCTGCCCTCCCTCGGGGCAGCGTGGGGGCACAGGGGGGTCCCTCATGGTGCTGGGTATTGGTGCCTCTCCAGGGAGGGGGCTCAGTGTGGCCCAGAGGAAGCTGAAGGCCAGGTTGGGGGATGAAGGGCCCTCTGCCTGCTTGGCAGCCAGTCTGTGCCAGCTGGGTCCCAGGGTGGCACTCAGCCTACCCAGCCCAGGCTGGTGCTTCAGCTCTTTGAGCAGCCCCAGTTGCTCTGCCCCAGGTAATGCATTTCCCTGGCTGAGCCCAGGTGAGGGCTGGTTCCTGACAGAGCACATGGTGAGATGTTGGCATGGAGGAGCTGTTGGGTGTCCCTCACTGCCCCAAAATGTGGGTGACAGGGAGAGCTCTGGCCCAGGCCAGCCCTGAGCCTCCCTCACTCTGCTCAGCCCCACAGGGCTGGGGCACCCAGGAGGAACATGCAAGGTAAAAGCACTTGTCACAAGGAATAACATCGGAAACACGTCTTGGGAAAGTCTTTTTGATTGTAATTGGCATCTCTGAGGCTGCTGCTGGAGGCTCCTGGAGCACTGGGCTGATGGCAGAGCACGTCCTGGAGCCCTGCTCTCCCCACTGAGCCCGTCCTCAGAGGACCTGAGGAGGGGCTGGTGGGAGCTGGGGCTGCCCTGTGCCCTCAGAGGGGCACTGGGAGGTGGCATCTGCTGCCCTGTGGCCAGCACCAAAGAGAGCCTTTGGGTAAAACCAAAAAGCAGCAGCAGCCCGTGCAGAGCAGCTCTGCTCCTTGGCTCTTGCCTGAGGGCGTGTTGAGTGCAGACAGGTTTAAAGTCTGGCTCCTCTGTGTGGCTGGCAAAGGTTAAAAGATCTCCAGTGTCTTTGTATTTAATTCTCTCTTTTAGTGGCAGATTATTGTTTTCCATGGGAGTTGAAATCTGGATGGGTTTGAAGGACATTTCTCCTGCACCAGGGCTGGAATGATTTGTTCAGAGCTGCTATGCTTTGTCTATCCTTGTTAAGTACCCAGAGAATACAGACTGCCACCGAGGGAATTTAATGTGACACATAAAAATAAGGAGTGCAGGAGAAAGCTGTAGGCTTCACAGTGTTTAACTACCTTCTCTCCTTGCTACAGAACAAGCAATTTTCTTCGAATTTGAGATGCCAAAGGTGAGAGAACACCCACTGCCCTGCCTTGGGGCTGGCACTGGTGCCCTGTGGAGAGCAAGAGCCACCAGCTCTGTGCTGCTCATGTGGGATCACCATGTCAAAGGGGATTAGCACCAAAAAGGGCTCAACACTGGAAAGTGAGCATGAGTGAAAGTGCAAATGGGATCAGCAAGCTTGTTTAGTTTTTGTACATGAAAATTTTGCATTGCCATTGTCACAGCTCATTCCACTGCTGACTGTTCCTGCTGTCCTGGTGGCACGAAGGGAAGGGCTGGCTGTGAGCTCTGCCCTTGCCAGCACCTTCCCTGCACTACCCCAGCTCCAGCCCTGGCTCTCTGCAGGGGGATGGAGCCACAGAGTACCAGGATGGGCAGGTCAAGGGAGCAGAGCAGGCCCAGGCATTGGAACTGCAGGTTCCAGGTACCTGAGGTGTGCCATGCTGTGGGCACTTCAGTCCCTCCCTCCTCCTCCCCCTCACAGGGCAGTAATACTTTGCTTTCCAAACCTGTGAGAGAAATCCCATCGCCTGTTCTGGCCCTCTTTGTCCATTTCAAAAAGCCCTTTCCAAGCCATCTCTCTCTAGGAGATGAATTCCTTGCACACATACAGCATTCCTGCCAGGTGAGGTGTCTGTCTGTCAGGGGAGTTAATCCCCACTAATCCCTTCCCTCCTCCCTGGAGCCAGCACACAATCCCCTGCTGTTACAGGAATGCACATTAAATGTGGCTCTTTGGCTTAAAATTCATGAACAAGGAAGGGGAGGGGATGTTTCCATCTTTCTGGGGGGTGCTGCTGCCCACCAGCCAGAGGTCACTGCCCTGGAGCAGCAGCTCCTTGTGATAATCACTGGGAATTTGTTCCCAGTCCAAGAGAGTTGCAGCTTGTGCACCAAACGGGCAGCCTGGAGCTTTCAGCAACAACCTGCCCCTTCTTACTCCCTGATTTGTGCACTTGAGGGGTGCACAGAACAGTTCATGTGATGTGGCTCCATCAGGGGAGCCCCTGGTGTCCCTTGGCCTCGCTCACAGGCTCTGGGGTGCAGGGCAGAGGGTCTGGCCATGGTCTGTGGTGCTCAGGGGCTCTGGGGCAGTGGCAGTAGCTCTTCCCAGCACAATGGCCCTGACTGGCACAGTCTGTGAGCTGGCCTTTGGGAAAACACAGAATTAATCCCCCCCACCGTGGGCTGCAGAGCCATTTAGTCCCGACTTTTCTGTTGTTTAAACAACTCTCAGACAAATAAATGCCTTTATGCCACGGCTGTCAGCTCAGGCTCTGCTCTCGTGTCCCCTCCCAGCTCTCCAGGAATGCAGTGTGTGGGATCTGAGCTGCCAAGGGAGGGGGAGGCAGAGGATCCCAGTCAGGGGGTGTTGAGGGCTCTGCCTCCTGCACCCACTGCTCGTTTGCTGTTTGCTAAATGCCTGATCTGGGCTGCAGGGCACAGAGCTCTCAGGGCATCTCTTACCTCTAGTGTTAATTGGTAGAGGGAAGGGCAGCTCCTGGGTGGAGAGCCATGTGCCATCCTGCTCTGCTGTCACCACACCTGCCATGGAGGTGGCAGGGATGCTGCGTGGCAGGAGCAGAGCAGCTGCTGGCATGGCTGGGGGCAAGGACACGCTGCTCTGGGGCATCTCACTGCACTTAAAGCAGGCAGCACTCAGCAAAGCACACCTGCTGAAATCCCACAAAAACATGGATGGGAAGGGGCAGGAAAGCCTTGCTGCCCTTTGTGGAGAGTGCCTGGCAGTCTCACCTGCCCTCACCTTGCCTGCAGCCGGCCTTAATTGGGTTTCTCTTATAAAAGCAGAATGTGGAGCAGTGAAGCGCTGTGGGCACACACCTGCTGGGACTCTGGGGAGCAGAGGGAGGCAGGGCCAGGGAGGGGACTGGGCTCCAGCTGGAGCCTTCAGCCACAGCAGCGTGGCTCTGCCAGGCCTGGGGAGACATGTCCTGCTGAGCTCTGCCCAGGTAGGAGGGCAGGGAGGCAGGTTGTGACAGAGGCTTTTAAAGGGGGATGGAGTCCGTGTGCTTCTGCTCTGCAGGGGGAAGGGGCAGAAAATGGGTTTTAACAGCACAGTGTGGGGTGACTGGACATCTCTGGCCCTGCCCAGGCCACAGGAGACACCTGACCCTCCCCTGCTGCCAGGGAAAGCAGTGCAGGTCTCCCTGTGGCCGTGGAGGGGGGCTGAGCAGAACCCAGAGCCCCTGCTGGGGCATGGAGGGGGCTGGGGTTTGCCTGGGTGCTGTTGGAGGATGTTTAAAGCCTCTGTGTGTCAATCCCACGGGAGGTGGCAGTAAGCCATGCCTCGGGGCTAAGGGCAGGGAGGGGAGGGCAGTGCTCTGTGTGCTGTAGCTCTGCTCGTGTCAGCCCTCTCTGTGCCCAAGGTCGGTACATGGGACAGAGCTCCCAGCCTTGGAAGCTTCCTCATCCTTCTCCTCTTCCTCCTCTTCCTCCTCCTGCTGCCAGGATGTGCTGGAGGTCAAGTCAGGAGGGTGCCCTACCTGAGTGATGTCCATTCACACACGGGCGTGGCTCCTGTTGTCCCCTGCTGCCGTGTGACTGCCTGCTGTCCCCACAGGGCTGTAATGTCATGGAGGACCAGGACCTGCGCGACATCGGCATCGGTGACCCGCAGCACCGGCGGAAGCTGCTCCAGGCTGCTCGCTCCCTCCCCAAGGTCAGCACCAGCCCAGACGGGCACTGCCAGGCATGGCTGTGAGCACGGGGGAGAGAAAAGCCAGACCCTGCATCTGCAGGGCTGTGGGAAGTCGCAGGGAGGAGGAGGAGGGGTGTACTGCTCTTCCAGGTTATGTGGATGGTGGGACTCTTCCTCCTGCCAGTCTTGATCCTTTGTTTGTACAGTGATTTTGTTACTGGCTAGTGGAGATAGTGATGGCCTGTAAATTTATTTTCATTGACCTCCACATCCCTTGGGATCCCTGCTCCTGCAGCTTTTAACACCTTTCCTGTGCTTTCACAGTTGAAACCCCTGGGCTGTGATGGGAACAGCCAGCCATCAGTTCCTGCATGGCTCGACTCCCTGGGGCTGCAGGATTACATCCAGTCCTTCCTCTCGAGTGGCTACAGCTCTATTGACACTGTGAAAAACCTCTGGGAGCTTGAGATAGTGAATGTGAGTGTCCCCCCCCCTCCTGCCAGGGCAGCATGGCCCTGCCCTGTTCCCTGGGGCTGGCACTTGCTGCAAGTCTCTCAGCTCTGTGCCCGTGCTGACCCTGATCTCTCCCTGCAGGTGCTGAAAGTGAACCTGCTGGGCCATCGGAAGAGGATCATTGCCTCCCTGGCAGACAGACCCTACGAGGAGCCACCAGCCAAGCCACCACGGTTCTCACAGCTGAGAGTGAGTCCCTGCTCATGGCTCCCTGCCTGATCGTGTGTCAGTGCTGGGAGAAATCCTGCCGTGGCCAGTGGTGTCTATACAGCTGCTTGTCTCATCCTCTCCAGCCACACAAGCAGCAAATTCTTGTGCAGGGGCAACCTTGCAGTGAGTGGGGCAAGATAATTGCAGCCCTTGCAGGTCAGCCTCTGGGTGCTGATCCCATGGGAAAGGCCAGGCTGCCCCTTGGGATTAGGTGTCTGCACTGAAGGGGTGCAGGGTGCCACTCCCACCTCTGCCCTGCACAGAAAGGAGCTCTGAGCCCACTTTGTTACCCTTGGCTCCTGGTCAGAGATGTGGGAGCTTTCAGCAGGCAGGAGTGCCCCAGCCCAGCTGGAGAGGGGCTGCAGCTGGGACTTGGGGTTTGATTGCACCCTTGGGATCCAGAGCCCTCTCCTGGCCCGGCTGGGCTGCTGAGAGCTCCCGCTCTCGCTGCCAAGTAACACTCCACAAGATGTGTGGATGTTGATTTTTGCTGCAGGAGTGGCAGCATTTGGATGTCAGGCCCTTGTTACGGGGCTTGGCTGGGAGGGAAGCATCACATTCCCCTTCTTCCTGAAAACTGGCTTTTGAGAGCTGAGTTTGGCAGAAGCTGCTGGGCTCAGAGCGACCCTGAGCTCAGGAATATGGGGTAGCATGTTGTGCTGCCTCCTCCCAGAGATTGCTAATCAGCTTCCTGGAGCAGGAACTGGAGTGATTAGCATTTACCCAACCTAAACATCTGGTCCTTGCCCTGCTGCAGAGCTCTGCCCTCTTGGATTCCCACCCTTTGCAACCCAAACAGCTGAAGTGAGTTGGGCTGCTGTGTCCTGCTTGCTGACACGGGATTCTTTAGGAACTGGGCTCAAGTGTGAGAACAGAGAGGAGAACAGAGAGGGTTCACTCTGGTGCTGCACTGGGAGGGTGCCCAGTACAGACCCGCTGCTCAGTGCCCTGTGCCAGGCAGAAGGGGCACAGGAGCACCAGCAGCCAGGGAAGGATCAGAGCCGAAGGCTGCTGAGGCAGGGAGAGGCTGCTCTGCTGATTGAGATGCTGCCCGGGGAGGCTGCCTGGGAGAATGGGCCATTTGCAGCATTTCCTGGCGCTGCAGCTGGTGAGCTCCAGCGGACGTCAATGGCAAATCAAGCGAGAATGAATGGGAATAATGGGAATAATGCGGCCACAGCTGTGCCGAGGCTCTGGCCCTGCCTGCGGGCCCTGGGCGCGCTCTGGCGGCCGCTCCCGGCTCCTCTGCTGGGGTGGCTGCTCATCATCGCCCTCGGGGGCTTAGCTTAGTGCTTAAGGGAGCCCACCCCTCTGGAATCACCTTGCCCCCAGCCCAGCGTGTCCCCTGCCCTCCTGGGATGAGCTCTTGGAGGCAGAGGCATGCTGGGCACAAAGGGTGAGTACATGGCTGAAACCATCCTGGAGCATGTGAGGTGTCTCGTGCAGGAGGTAAAGGGTGGGATTGGCACTGAGGCAGGAGCTGACCCCATTAGCCCACTCAGTGCTGGGCACTGTGGAGGGAATGATGGGGAGCACAGCACAGCCCTAGCTGACTGGGTCCCTTTGTGGTGTCTGCTCCTTCCAGTGCCAGGATTTGATGTCCCAGACGTCGTCTCCCCTGAGCCAGAACGACTCCTGCACAGGCAGATCTGCTGATCTCCTGCTGCCCTCTGGGGACACTGCCAGGAGGCAGCACGATCGTGGCACTGAGGTTGCTCCCTACTCCAGAGCTGAGCGCTACAAAGCACAGGTTAGTGGGTGTTTTTGTGTGTCCTGGGGGCCCTCTGCAGGCTCCCCCATCTCTGGAGCCAGGGATAAGGGAGGATGATGCAGGGAGGGAGCTGGTCAGGCTCAGCTTCCCTCAGACATAAGAGTCAGCAGCTCCTTTATGACCTCAGTTTCACCTCAAAATGGATGGCTCACACTTCCATCAGCACTGGCACCTTAACCCCATGTGCTACCTCCACCCAGCTCCTGGGGGATTTGGCCATTGCCAACCTCAATCCACTCAGCTCAAGGAGCCCCAGTGAGAGCTGCTCCAGCCCACTGTGGCTTCACATCCCTGCTTCTTGCCATGCAGGAGGACCGTCGGGAGTCCAGGCTCACCCTGCGCCCCCCCAGCCTGGCAGCCCCCTATGCCCCTGTTCAAAACTGGCAGCACCAGCCTGAGAAGCTCATCTTCGAGTCCTGCGGGTACGAGGCCAACGTAAGTGGCTTTTGGGTAGTGGGGGTGGTGAGGATGAGGATGAGGAGCTCGGGGGTCTCACAACAGTGCCATTGCCTTGGCATTGGCAGGATTTAACATCTCTCCCTCCTTCACACAGTACTTGGGCTCCATGTTGATCAAAGACCTCCGAGGGACAGAGTCCACCCAGGACGCCTGTGCCAAGATGAGGGTAGGGAGGGGCTGGGGGCTTCACTTGCAGCCTGGGGGAGATGATGTGGGGTGGGGTGGGGAGACTTCAGTGGTTCTCTGAGCCCTGTCCACCAAATAGGCAGTGCCACTGTGTCTGGTGAGCTGCCAGAGCATTGTTCCAGTATGCAGAGGGTCTGGGAGAGTGGGTGATTTCACTGGGGAAGTGGTGGCTGGGTTCTCTTCAGGTCCTTGTCTCTTCCCCTCTGCTTCCACCAGGAGCTAACTTTCCTCCTCCTGGTCCCAGATCCCCAAAACTTCCTGTACAGGCCTGGGGGGTCTCTGGTGTGGAGGTAAAGAGGGAGCATCCATTCACAGTTGGTCACTTGAATATTCTTGTTTCTGAAGAAATCCACGGAGCACATGAAGAAGATCCCAACCATAATCCTGTCCATCACGTACAAAGGGGTGAAGTTCATCGATGCCTCCAACAAGGTGAGCTGCAGATTACTCTAAGTCAGTGTCTGGAGGGACACAGCCTGCAATCCCACCTGCCTGGGGACTGCAGGTCACTTTTTGTGGCTCCAGAAGCCACAGATAGTCCTGGGGAGCTTCTGGAGCTGGTGGAGAATACCAAGGTGGTGATGATCACCTGAGTGCCAAGGCTTGGCAGACTGGCTGCTTGTGGACCATGTTGCCATTTATTCCTGCCATGGGAGGGAGCTGGGACTGGTGTGGCTGGGAGACCCCCACAGCCACTGTTTGCTGGGTGTATTTGCCATGCCCAGAAGGGTGACGGGTGCTTGTGGTTGACCCTGGCAGAATGTCATTGCTGAGCACGAGATCCGGAACATCTCCTGTGCTGCTCAGGACCCTGAGGACCTCTGCACCTTTGCCTACATCACCAAGGACCTGCAGACCAGCCATCACTACTGCCATGTCTTCAGCACTGTGGATGTGGTGAGTGCATTGTCATGTCACATCTCCTGGGCTTTCACAGCCCGTTTGTTTCATCCCTCAGCTTTATTGGCTAGTCACAGACTGCTCCTTTCCAGGGTTCTTTCACCCATTTTTACCATAAAGTAGTCTTGGTTCAAATGCCTGTCCTTTGGACCTCTATGGACAAAGAGAATATTTGTCTGGTTTCATTCCTGCCATCTCCAGCGCTGAATAAAGCAGGGCAGAAGCTTTCCCTCCTGGGGAATGTGCTCTGCACAAACCCCTAACATGCTCTCAATTATGTTGAGCATAATGGGCTGATTTAACAACTCAGAGAAGGTAGAAGTGTGATTTGCTTTTATACTTGAGCAGAATCAAAATTGCACAAGACTTTTGGGCTATTTTTCTTTGTGCTGCTGAACTGCAGTACTGGTGGGGCTTTACAGGTGGGCAGGAGGCCCTGGGGGAGGCACCGTGGTCAGGCTCCCCCCACATCTGGAGCTCAGTGGCTTTGCCAGGGACACAGCAGGATGTCACCTGCTGATGGGAAGGTCTGTGACCCCAGAGCAGCTTCTGAGCACAAGGGGGACTGTGTACAGTGTGATCTGACAGCTTTGTGTTCTCTGTGTTCTCTCCAAGAACCTGACGTACGAGATCATCCTCACGTTGGGGCAGGCATTCGAGGTCGCCTACCAGCTCGCCCTGCAAGCCCAGAGAGCAAAGCCTCTGGGTGCTGGAGCAGGGGAAATGATTGAAACAAAATCTTCCAAACCGGTGCCTAAACCACGAGCAGGCATGAGGAAATCCGCGGTACGTGGGTGCGGGCAGGAGCGACCTGCTGGGCTGAGCTGGGGGTTCTTGTGGGCACCACAGCCCTACGCCTCCCCTGGGTGGTGGGGGGAGCCCAGACATGTCCAGGTGCCTGTCCTGCTGCTGGCACTGCAGCTCTGTGTCTGTCAGTTCTGCTGCAGGGCTGACAGAGGGTGGCAGAGGTGGAAATAGCTCAGGTGGGATGGGGCTTTAGTGCCCTGCTGGGTTCAGCACAAGCTTCCACGTGCAAACCCTGCAGAGCTGCAGTGAGATACGTAGGTGAGCTGCAGCATGGGATTCCCCATAGCCAAAACCAGCTAAGACTGGAGCTGCTGAGGAGCAGGGACTGCTGCACAAGCCACTGCCTTCCTTTAATGTGTCCTTTTGTCTGTGTTCTGCTTGCTCCCCCCGCTCAGGTGCCGCTCCCTCCCGACACCCGCTGTTGTTACTGTCACACCTGTACAACACACCGCCCCTCCTACCTGCCGCTGCAGTCTGTTAGTCCTGGAGCGAAGGTCTTTACCCTTCTTCCTGCCATCCTCCATTCCAAACCCACCCAGGCTGCCTCCCCACTTCTGTATCTCCTGCTGTGCCCCGTGTCCTGCCTCCTGTTGTTCATCCCCATGCTCATTCTGGCCCACGCCAGGGGCTCTGCTGCTCCCACCGCCCCTGCTGATGCAGTGTGGCAGCTCTCAGCTAACCCCGTTGCTCCTGCTGGGGTGGTAACTTCCCCGTGGCACCCTGATTTAGCAGGACAAGAGGAAGAGCCGTGCTTGGTCAGGAGGGTGAAGCACGTGGGAGCTCACCTGCCAGGACCTGTCTGCCTCTGTCCCATTTCTGTAGCTTTTTTCATTTTTCATGCTTGTTTGAGATGAGCAAAGCTGTCGCTGATGGTGACAGGGACTCACAGCCTAATGCAGGGAGTCATTTGGGGTGCTGGGTTGAGACTGACTTGGCCAGACACATTTTAGCTGTGAAGGACTCAAATGCCTCCCCAGCAAGAGCTGCTTCCTTGCACACATCACGTTTTTGGGACGGGCAGTAGGCAGGCAGGCGCTCCGTGCTTTGAGTCCCTGCTCATCCTGTCCTAGAAGCACAGGTGTCCTAAGATGCCCTTTCTCTCCTTGTTTTCTAGCTGGATCCCCCTGAAGTGGACCAAGACTCCCAGTCTCATGCCAGTGTCTCCTGGGTCGTGGACCCCAAGCAGGACTCCAAGCGGACCCTCAGCACTAAGTATGAGACCACTATCTTCTAAAGCAAACGCCCGCGTCCGCCCCGTCTAACCGTGCCTTTGCGATCTGATCTGTCTGCTCTTCTAAACTCCCTCTTCCTCCAGCTGCTCGCCCTGAGCCCGCGTAGGCACCGCGTCCAAGGCAGCAGCACTCAGGAGACTGTAGACTTAAACGGCTTTTGTACCTGATCGCTGCTGAACACTGTGAATCTCCTTACTCGGAATCAAGGGTAACTGTAGCTGCCCGCCAGGCGAGGCGGGAGGAGCAGAGAGGGCAGGCTGGCAGTCGGAGATGTGGATCCAGGAAAGCCGCCCACCGTTTTCACGTCTTCCCCCCTCGCTCTGGCACTGTGAATCCCTGGGGCAATGTGATACTCCCCAGGCCTTTTTTTTTCTATCTCACCTTGTCCTTGGACTGATGGAGACCTCTTGTCTCTTCGGTGCACACACTCCCTCCTCCTAGATCCTCCTCTTCCCAACTGAGCCACGGCTGTGTACTGTTCAGTGAACTCACCTCTCCTTCCTGCCAGTCGAACCGACACTAACCACTGTGATGCTCTCTGCAGATAACACACGGGCACTTCAATTCCCTCACAGCCGCCCTTGCCCGCAGTCTCCTTCCTCAAAGCCCAGCACAGAACTTGCTCTGGGTGGTGGGGAGCGTTGGTTTGGGCCGGGTGTGATCGTTCCCACTGTGAGCTCTGTCCCCTCGGACATGAGGGGGGGTTTGGTTGCATGCATTTCAGTCCTTTGTAGGTTTTTCTTTCCCTCATAGGCCTTGTGTTTACACTCACCAGACTTCTCGTGAAGTTCTCACGTGGCAGCCTGTGGTTAAGCTTCCAAAGGCACATGTTGATGTTAGCCCCAGGCTGGGGAGGAGAGGTGTCAGCTGGGCACCACAAGCAGCAGCAGCAGGGAGAGGTTAGGGAGCAGCCCTAGGTTATTTGCCCCTGGTGTTAGGGCCCAGTAGCAGGTTGTGTGAGGTTTGATGTGGCTTTGGAGCTGCTGCCTCAGATCTTTCATTTCCCCTCACCTGCAGTGAAATTTGGTGTTTCAAAGTTCTTATTTAGCTCTTTCTCAGGAATGAGTTTGATCTCCCAAGTCATTTGCGACTTAATGGCAAACTGACCTCAGACTGAGGGCTCAGCCAGTGGGAACCCAGTGAGAGGACTAAAAGTAAAAGTGTTAGAGCAAAAAAAATAAGGAAAGCTCAGTCTAGTACATACATTTCATATGCCACAGAGTCAGCACTGCCCAGGGCCTGCAGTGCCACCCTGCCAGCCCAGGCCTTGTGGACAACAGAACATTGCTGTGACTGAGGTGCTCCAGGAGGCTGGGTTTGGGTTCCATCAGCACTTTTCCAAGCTCTAAGAGTGCCCTGAAGGTTTCTGTGTCCCTCTAAGAGAAACTCAGTCCCTGGCGTGGGTGGCAGAGCAGTTTCTACGTGTAGGTGTTCACCACACAGCTGCCACACGTCCCCCCAGTGTCAGAGCTCTGAGCTCTTCACCTCCCCCTGCTCTCAGCTGGGAAGGGCAGGTCCCTCCACACCCCCTAAATCCGGGTCACGAGAGCATGTGCCTTTCTAAGGGTGCCCAAACCCAGCAGGGATCCCAGGCAGCCCTTCCCAGACGGCGCCGCTGCCGCTCCGTGGCCGTAGCCCTGACGGTTTTTGTGTCCCGTCTCCGGGCCGTTCGCCTCGCCTCTCCCAGCAGGTGTTTTTGTGTGACTCGGAAATTCATTCCATTATCTTCCTTTCTGTTTGCCTCTGCGAAGCTGAGCTCCGGGCAGCCGTCTCCTACCACGGGATGTAGTAGCTTGGCAGAGACCTGGATGCAGTGGCCTCCTGACATGAAGATCATCTTCCCCCTGGCACGGGTGGCTGCCTCAGAGTGGGTGCGTGGCTGCTCGGTGAGGGCTCCCAGAGCACAGGGGGGAAGGGACCCAGCTCCGCCGAGGGAAGCTGCTCATCTCCATTCCTAGCAAAGGAAAACTCGACACTCGGAGGCCAAGAGCGATGTCGCCTTTCCTAGTCTGAGACAAAACGTCTTTCCACCGGTTTCTTTTCTAACAAAGTGACACAGAGCAAATCCGGTTCACGGTTTCAATGTAGCACTGCAGATTTTGGTGAGGAAAAAAAAACAAAACAGATTTTTATTTACTGAGAATCCTGCAGTCCGGCGAGGAGCATGATAGAAAGTCTTAGCAGGGGCGTGGTGTGCACATTTCTGATGGTACTTACTCTGCTTCAGCTCTGGGTGAACAGGAGAGAACGCCAAATTCTTGGAGATCACTTCCTCCTGTGTGAGAACCTGGTAGGGTAAGTCTGCACCCTGTTCTCCAAGCCACTCCACGCTTTTATAGCAAATGGAAGTAACTTGAGGAAAAGAATCTGCAAAGGATCTTTCACCCCAGAGCAGCTGTGGCCAATATCCCCGATGGTACAAAGCTTCCTTATCCCCTGAACTGTCGTGTTGCAATACTTGACATTTCTATGGCAAGGACCCCGTTTCTTCCCGTTTCCGCACTGAATTCCTGGGGACAACTCCCTGCTCCAGCCTCTGTGCACCTGTCTTGTTTTTAAATGCAGTTATGCCCTGAAGGGTTGGGGTTTTTTTAAGTATATTCAGTTGTGATTTAGCACTTTTTTGATACTAGCTCATTATTTAATTAGTGCAACCGTTTCAGAAGATGAACAAATAAGGAGTTAAATTTTGGGCATTACACTGAAACAGTCCATCCCCAAGGACAAACCACATCAGCCTGAGGGTGGCTTGGCCCCATCCGAGCCCAGTGTCCCCAAAGACACCACCTCAAAGGTGCTGTGTGCTTGCTTTTTTCTGAATTACCGAGTGTTTCACAGTGGTTTGGGCTGTCACTGACGTGTTTTCAGACTGTTCCCCTCTGGGGAGAGTGTTAAAATGGTTGTGATATGAATTCTTCAGATGCAAAATGCAGCTCAGTGTGTCTGTGGTGATCTCCCTGGCAGGGCTGTGGGACCTGCTGCCACGGGAGCGCTGTGCCCGAGTAATTCCTGTTTAACTCCAGTTGCTGCTGTATGTCAGGATTTCCTTTAGTCTCTCTCACCAGTGAGGCTGGGAGGGAAGTGAACCATAATCCCAAGGGCACAGACCTGTAAAGGATTGGGAAGGGGGAGTGGAGATTTTGGGTTAAGTCAATGAATTTAGGAAACCTAACATTCCTTGTTATGCACATGTTGCAATTCATACTGGTGTAAGTGTAAATATTTGGTGTGTTGGCAACAAGTCTTTGGTGAGATTGCAAATTGAACCTCTGCTTGGGAGGAGGGACACCTTTCCTTTCTGACACGTGAGCTTTTTTGGAGGTTGGCTTGGAGGTAACGTGGTGATGAAGACTCCAATCTTCAGGCACTGGGCTCGGTGACCCTGGTGGTCCATTCCAGCCCCATGTGTAAACCTGTGGTTGTCTTTAGTGATCCATTCTTTAGCCAGATACTCCCTTTCTCACCTTCCTCACAGACAGAGCAGTTGTTTTGGCAGTTCAGTGTGGTGGGGTCTCTCAAGGGACTCAGTGCTGGAGGCTGACCCTGGGCTGTGCCAGTTGTTGGCTCCTGGCCACCTCCACCCACCCACTGTGCAGTATTCGGGCTCTTCCTCCCTGCAGGGTTTTGTGCTATCTGGAGGAAACTGCCCCACATTTCTGGTGCTGAACATGACATTGCATCCAACTGCATCTGCTGTATTACCTGCCCGGGAGGAGTTGGGGCTCCTCTGTTCCTCTCTTTAAAGACAGATTGTGTTTCACAGACTTTGGTTTGTGGGCTGAGCCCTCACTCATGGCTGGCAAACAGAGTTGCCGAGTTTTGTCTTTCTTTTTATAGGAGGGGATGATTTTTTTTTTCAAATTGAAGATGCTTTATCCTTTTTTTATTTTGTGTTTACAAAAAAAAAAAATCAGCGCTAACCTTAGCTGTTCAGCTGACTTTAAACTTGCTTTGGGATTGCTCTTTTTAGAAGAAATTATGCAACTTTTTAGGGGTACACGCCTGTCCCCCCTCCCAGGGAGAAGAAGCAGCACCTTCCAGGCTGTACCTGTAGTGAAGTCTGTACCTTCAGGAGGCTGCTGAGACACAGAGCAGATGCCAAAAAGCCCCGAAATTGTCCCGTTCTGTGTGCAGCTGGGGTGGAGCCAAAGCTTTAATGCTCCTTCCACCCACCTCAGAAGTTTCCAGCAGCAGCAGCAGCAGCAGCATTTCCCTGGCTCTGCTCAGATCCGTGTTTTGGAGCCAGCACAGCGCTCACAACGCTGTCGTGTTGCAAAGGTCTCCCTTTTAAATCTCACATTGATATTACCTTAAATTTGTTTTCCCAAAAGAAAAGTACCTGTGCTGTTCTCGCTAAGTCAACCCAGCTCAGACATTTTTCTTACCCACAGAAGAATAACCTGGGATTCCCTGACAGGGCAGAGACAGTCGAGTTCAGTTTGCAATGTGGACATTTTTGCTAATTGTGATGTATGGCAGTGGGGCTGATTTGTAATACAAATGTTATTTAATCTGTCTGTATTTTGATACTTGAATTTCCTTTTATTTCCTGTATATACAATTGTTAATCTGTTCAAATTTGTCTGAATTTTAAACATCTTGTGGTACCAAACATAACCAATCTGTGCAACAACATAGACTGACCTCACTACAACAAGGCGAGATTGTAAATATTCCTGGGCTTCCAGCAGTCGTTTTGTTGTTTTCATAATTGTGCAACTTAGAACAGACCGAATTAATAAACAACCTTAGACACACGTGTGTGCTCTTGTGTGTGGCCCCAGTGTTGTGCCCAAGTCCTGCTGGGGGTCTGTGTCAAAGCAGGGCAGTTCTCATCCTGCAGGCACTGGCTGGGGGGTTTGGGAGCTTTGGTTGAAGCTGGTTTTTTTCTGCAGCCAGTCATAATGACCCAAACATTGAATATTATTATTTTGAGTCTAATTTATGCGTAAAATCACATCCAAATGTTCTGTTAAAGACAGCACGAGGGTCTGCAGGCATTGTGGGTGTATTCTACACGTGATGGAGGGTTAGAAAAGCACATTTTTGCCCCCACTAAAGTACATCTGCAAGGACTGTGTCCCTGGGGGCTCCATGTACTGGGGATAGCCACTGAAATCCTTTTTTGCAGCACGGCAGCGAGTGGTTCCTGTGACACCAGGACCCATTTGGGCAACCATAGTTCAGAACATTTACCCAGCAAAGACCTGGGGCTTGCCAGGAATTAGGACATTTCAGTTTGTAAAATTAGAGCAAGAAATCCAGACATTTAAATACAGGTTAAAGTTCAGATTTTCGTGTCAAGTAAAACCCGACTGATGTGAAATGCTAAATACACCAGGGATTGCTAAATTTATACCGTATGTTCCATTTCTAATAGCAAGGCAAGTCAGGTTTTCAGGCTGACATGAAATACACTGAGCTGCTTTAATGGTTTGAAGCACCATGAGGTTTTATCCCTCACAGCCCTGGCTGGGACTGACACCTCAGCAGAGGTTACAGGCCCCAGGCAGAATCTGAGTTTTTAACTGAGTTAAAAAGGCCTGATGTGCACTGCAGTTCAGTGAGCTCCACAGCCCCTAGCCTTCCCCACCAAATAGTGACAGGTTTTTGAGGAAAAAAGACTCCTGCTTTTTCTAGTTGAGAGGTTTATTCAGATCCTGATGTGCCAAGGGTTATCTCCTGCTGGCCTCGGTGGAGTTGTTGGATGAATTTTTACAAGCTGAGGCAAGATCTGAGAGACTGGAGGAGAATGGATTCCACCCCTGCCTGGTACGCGGAGAATGTGAGCAGAAATAATCCAGCTGGGAGAAGTTCCTTCCTGAGAATTCCCAAACTCTTGCCTGCTGTTGATTGCACTTCCAAACCTGCACCCAACTTCCAGCAGCTCCCGCTGAATGGAACCAAGGCCTTTGGGAAATCTTTTTGAGAATATGGTCCATCAAGGAAAATTAAAAGGCTGAGGAGGGAATGAATCCACTGCCCTGTAGGGGGGGAAGAGTATGAAAACAAAAAATAATAGGTAAATCAACAGAAATCTGTGAGAGAAGCTTCCTCAGGCAGCCAGGAGCAGATCAGGGACAGCCCTATTACAGAGGGTTGCTGTGGGAACCAGGAATGCTCTGGAGGGATGCAGATAAACCAGCAGCCAGCACAGGAACCCGGGTGACTGTGTGCACCTGAGAGCACGTCAGGGTCAGGTGTACTCCCCTTGCTTTCTCTGTCCAACATCCAATTTCTTTCATGCAGGAAAAAGCCACATCAGTGACTTGAGGTGTGCAGGGACAAAGCCTGGCCAGATCCTTCTGCAGAAGGTGCAGAGACAGTCACTTAGAGAGCTCTTCAGCTGAGACACCAGCGCCTCAGAGGAGAGCTCCTCTGCAGAGTCTGCTTTGTTCATGTCACAATCACAGCTTACACAGCTGGAGCCTCTAAATCTTTCCGTATTAGTGACTCATACCTGACACTCATCAGATTTAAGAACTTCTTAGTAAATCATGAAGCAATGAATAAATAAAACAGGCTCCAACTTTTTTTGCTTATTCCAAGAGCCATCTTATTTTCTTGGTACTTCTTCAGTCAGACCCAAACCCACCTCCATCCCCGTTCTCACACATTTTTTGCTACGAGACAGAGAAAAGCCAAGCCTGAATATAAAGATACACATTTATATTTATATGCACGCAGACCTGTGTGGGAGAAGCCGACCCCTGGCAGCCCAAAGTCGCTCCAAGGACAATTTCATGCACAATGGTCAGTGTGGAAATGTCACCGGTGACTGCCCACAGCTGGCTCCGGGAGAGAACCGGAGCAGGCCTGGCTGCAGAAAGGCAGGGTAAAAAATAAGGCAAGGAACGCGAACCCAGCCTCGAGAGGAAAAGGGGGTTAAAAGCATTTTCTGAGCAGCTTTTGAGTGAAAACGTGCACGTTTGTGTACAGACAGATCACTTCGGCCGCTGTGGCTGTGAGGGGTCCCGCCTCCCTGTCGTCTCCGCGATCCCCGGCGCGGGGCTGACCCCTAGTGCCGGCCGGAACGAACAGCGGGTGTGAGGGAGCGAACAGCGGGCACTGAGGGAGGGAATGAATACCGGGCACTGAGGGAGCGAACAGCGGGCACTGCCCTCGGCCGCTGCCCGCACCCCGGGGTCCCGCGCCCACCACCCCAAAGCCTCCTTCGGGCCCGGCGGGCCGGGACTCCCCCTGCTCCGCCAATGGGCCGCGCCAGGCGCCGTGTCGAGGTGGCGCGGAGGGGCGCTCCCATTACGGGCGGAGGGGGTGAGCGAGGGGGGCGACGGCCCTGGTGTGAGGCGTCGCGCTGAGGGGCGGCAGCGGCGGCGAGACCCGGGGGCAGCCCGGGGTTTGCCATCGCATCCCGGCCCTGTCATCGCATCCCGGCCCTGCCATCGCACCCGGCCCTGCCATCGCATCCCGGCCCTGCCATCGCATCCCGCCCTGCCATCGAATCCCGGCCCGGAGCCGTCGGGGAGCGCTGCTGGCCGTGCAGCCGCCGCAGCATCCTTCCTCCTCCCTCGTTCCTCAGAGCTTGTCCCTTTTTGGTGGGCCCAAAAAGGAGGGCTTGACTCCGGTCACCTGCTGTAAGCTCTCCTGCACTTCTCTGGGACTGGGGTTAAACCTTCCGAAGGGCAAACCCGCAGACGCTGGGATGAGACTCCTTGTGTGCCAATAAACAACTTGCCTTTTTTCTCCCTCCCGGCATTTTTTCCCCCTCTTATTTCCTCCACATCCATGACAGCTGCCAGCCAGCACCTGCGGCACTGAGGGATGGGATGGGATGGGATGGGATGGGATGGGATGGGATGGGAATGGGGCAGCTGCTCAGAACCGTGGGGACAGCTTGTGAGTGGGAAAGCAACTGGGCATGAGAAACAAAACCACTAAAGCTCATCATGAGACCTGCCTGGCCCAAATCCCACCCAGGAATTTCCCTCAGTGCTCCTTATGTGTTTTGTGCAGTGCCAGACCCTGCTCCTGCACTTTTCTGATCCTTACCTTCGCGTGAGGAAGCTGAGGATGGGGAAATAGCATTTATAGAGAGTGGAACAGCACAGCTCCTGAGGGGACTGCACTTTGCTCTTGTCTCTGTTTCAGAGCAGGGCCCGTTGCTTCCAACCTATAAATCCTGATCCCAGAGGAGGCAATTGTATTTAAATATATATGCATTTCCCCTGCATTAATTTCCTTTCCCATGTGACTGGTGACATGAAGGATTGTAATAGAAGAATGTATTTTTAATGCATTTCCTGCAGATTTCTGCAAGGCAATCTAATTCCTGAGTGGGTTTAGCTTGCCACAAAGGCAAGCACTGGTAATTGGCCTGGGTGGGTTCTTTTAATCTACTGTTTCAATGTGCTCCATCCATCTCTCTGATTAGATTAATCTCATTTGTTTTAGCCAAGCCATCTAGCTGAAATCCCAAGGGAGGAAATTGGGATTTTGAGTCTTTCAGGGTGAGCGCTGGGAGTGTTAGGCAGCAAACTCCATAGGGAGATTTCCAATTTGCCCTTTTGTCACGTCAGAAATGTGTAACCCTGGTGATCACATTGGAAGGGACCAATTAGCTGTGAATCTGCTTCATCCATGAGGGGCTGTGGGGAGCCCACACAGGTCTTCTCTGCCCTGCTTGAAGCAACTCCCCTAAGAAATCAAACCCAGCCTGGAGCAGAGGGCTCAGCTTCCCAAGAAGGCTCCCGTTTTCCTGGCAGGAGCAGAGAGAGCTCCGTGGCTGGACCTTCCTCACCTGTGGAATGGCCACGCTTCTGCAGCCCCACCGTCGTGACCGTGCTGGGCGCGGCCAGGGGGAGAGCCTGCCAGTGCAAACAGAAATACCTTCCCCCGTGGAAGGGGAAATGGATTTTTTGTTTAAAAGATGGCAATGTTTTTCCAAGCCTGATGAATATGAAAGTCCCCATTTAAAGGAGTGGAAGCAGCGGAGAAGCTGGTCACTGTTTGCACGCCCACGCGCCGACAGAGGAGGTGAAAGCAAACTTCCTGGTGTATCCCGATCCAAATCACCTGGGAGAGAGGCACAGTGCCCCGAGCTGTGAGCTGCTGTGCTGAGCAGCTGCAGAAAGCTCTCTGTGAAACAGCAAACCCCATCCCAACAGGAGAGGCAGAGCCCTGGTAGTGTCAGCTTGGAGCCTAGCTGCATCTGTGGCTGTTGGAAATCGGCCTTGCAGGGGGAAGGCAATGAGGGTGGAGGGCAGAAAGTGTTAGCAGGTGTTTTGGGAGGGTGTGGAGGGGAGAGCAGGGGAAGACTGGAGTTTTCCTCTGCCCAGTCCTCCAGGAAAGCTATTTTTGCAGGAGCTCCTGGGCGCCAGACAAGGTTTGGATTGTTCCCGTGCTGGATGCTGGTGCAAATACGTGGGCAGACAGCTGGATCCTGAGGAGCTCCCAGTGTCCCAGCCAGCGTGTGAAGGGCTATTTTACACCTTGCCCAGGTGAGAGGATGCCTTGGCGCCGGGTTTGCCCTAGTCCCTGATTTTGGTTGGGAGTGCTCTGGAGAAGTGAGTGCCTGCTGCAGTGCTGCTCTGGCAGGGGCATGCAAGGTGTGTATGTACCCATGACACACCATGTGCACCAGGTATCTGTCAGTTCCCTGCTCCTCAGGTGGTGCATGACCTTTCCTGTGAGATATTCCATCTCTGGCTGTTGCCACCTCAGTCACAGTGGACGTGTCTGAGCTACAGGGAGCAGCCACTGGAGCAAACCACCCCTTGTCCTGTCCAGCCTCCTGTGG